AATCTTGCAATGGTCCAGTATTGTCAGTTTCTTGTTTATAATCACTGTAAAGACATTTTTTAACGTCTTTAAATAATTAAGATGTGTCCTTAATTTACCTTTTTAATTTTTTACACATGAAACATTAATTTTTACACCATGTTTTAGAAAGTTAGTGAGAGCATTAAAGAAGGTCAGGTTTTTACTTGGATGTGCTGAACTTAATTACTTCAGCAAACAGCATTTTTTGGCTGTAGAAGTTACTTAACAAATAACAAACACATTGAAATTAAAAAAAAAAAAACAACTGAAAATGGAATATAAATATTCGTGTACAAACCTAAAAAAGTCGGCAAATTGCAATATAAACTTTTCCATGTACCTAAGAGAGCATTCGGGCAATTCATCATAATTTTGGACACTTGTAGGGGTGTCATCGCTTGTGAAATATTTTCTACGTTTTGAATTCCCTTTGGTATTAGATTCTTCCAAAACCATTGCGGCTGTGTTAAGTTGAATTTCGATGTTATCTGTAAAGCTGTTAGTGATAGTATCGGGAGATTTTTCTTCAGCAATATCTGAAAATGCTATATTTGATTTACCAGTATTAACTGAAGATAATGTGCTATCACTATCTTTCCTTGGACAAAGATGGTGAAGTTTCTGAGTTTGTAACATATGTGTCTGTAGCTCCTCGTGTTCTTTAGATATATTGAATATGACATTGAACCCATGACTGCTGTAACCTTTGGAACTTGTAACCTTTGACTCAGAACTGCTTGCATATTTAGGACTTGGGATTTCTTTGTGTACCGACTGGCATCGCTTACGTTTTGATCTTTTTCTTTTCCTTTGTAAACAATTAAAAATACGTTTAACGAATAATTTGGCATTAGTTACTGTTGTCTTATGATAAAACTTAATGGCATGAGTTGTCTTGTCATAAAACTTAATGGCATGAGTTTCTTGTGATAAGACTTAATGGCATGAGTTCTCTTGTGATAAAACTTAATGACATGAGTTGTCTTGTGATAAAACTTAATGGCATGAGTTGTCTTGTGATAAAACTTATTGACATGAGTTGTCTTGTGATAAAACTTATTGGCATGAGTTGCATTGTGATAAAACTTAATGGCATGAGTTGTCTTGTCATAAAACTTAATGGCATGAGTTGTCTTGTCATAAAACCTAATGGCATGAGTTGTCTTGTGATAAAACTTAATGGCATGAGTTGTCTTGTGATAAAACTTAATGGCATGAGTTGTCTTGTCATAAAACTTAATGGCATGAGTTGTCTTGTCATAAAACCTAATGGCATGAGTTGTCTTGTGATAAAACTTAATGTCATGCGCATGAGTTGTCTTTGTTACAAACCTATTCTTGCTTAATAGGTTCGTTGGCTTCGTTGTCTATGGGTTTATTATATACACTTCACAACTATAAATTCTTGTATAAAATATCTTTATTCATCCAACTAAGTCCTCAACTGTCATTACCGTACTCAAAGCACAACACTCTACCACCATCTACAATACTAATACGTCATATCCCTTTCCTAACATTACGTCACAAGATACTAACAATAACAGATAAAACAACACACATAATCTCAAACCAACACGCAATCACACTATACACTCAAGTCCCTAGCATTCCTCCCCCCGCTTCCTTTGACATTAATTTGAAAAATTCATGTCACCCACAAATACATATCCAAAAATTTGTCAATAGACATCAAACAATTAACAAGAGTAAATACCAAATGTAAACCAATCAATTTCAATATTACATTTTCAATTAAGCGACATGTATTACAAACAAACTTATAATACATTGCCACTCCAAAATGTTTAACCAATCTGGCAACATACATAAAATCGTTAGTATCACCTCCCAACTTAACAAAGTCAAACCCTTAAATACAATTTAGTTCTGAGCAATTCCTGCTCCCAAACATAATATAACATCTTCACGTGTACATTATGAAAACAAAAATTCTCTCATCCAACTCGATCAATGGGGGAAAAAATAGCCTCCTCCATGTAACTAAGGTAAAAACCATTAGCCACAGTAAAATTGTCTGAGTTGGAGATGGACTCGACACGCCCCCCCCCCCCAAGTTTTAGGAATGTCCTTGAAAAGCTCACGACCTCTACGTCGTGATTATCGTGGCCTGTCCAGGTCCCAACATTTTCGAACCTCGGACAAAATCCAAATCTCCCTCTTGTCAAAATCCCAGCGTCGCCCAATATCGCAGTGGTTCGCATAATCATCCCCCCTACTTAGGCATGTTCAAAACAGTAGCATCTAAACATTGCTATGTCCTAAAGATACTGCCTAGGAAACACATTTCTGAAAACATGACCAGAATATCTTAATCTTACATGAGGCATCAATTATACGATGGCCTTGACTGGTTAAACCCCCCGTCTCAGGCACAAATGTATAATGTCTGTACACAACTCTACTCAGTGTTTTGCCATAGAAAGAATACAATATAATTTCATAATGTTATTACCATGAAAATTAATTTTAAAAATGAACAATGACATACAAGCTTTTGAAAACTACATCCTAAAAATGAAAACTTGAAAGCTAAATTTTAACGTCGGTTAGATTTTATAGACGCTTTCAAATTAGGAAAAAATTATAACATTGACAACAAAATTATTGTCCCGCACAAAAAATTTGACCACAAAATAAACGAAACTCTGCCTGTTAAATGGAAAAAAAAATTAACATCTATGGACACGTGAGGACATCATTAAATTGTCCAGTCCCAAATTCGTATTTAAAGAGGTCGGGATATTACGCCTGTCAGTCGCCGGACAAAAAGCGTGCTCATTTGTCCACCAGCTTAACTCTTCCCTCTCAATTCTCACAGCTTAACTCTTCCCTCTCAATTCTCACAGCTTAACTCTTCCCTCTCAATTCTCACAGCTTAACTCTTCCCTCTCAATTCTCACAGCTTAACTCTTCCCTCTCAATTCTCACAGCTTAACTCTTCCCTCTCAATTCTCACAGCTTAACTCTTCCCTCTCAATTCTCACAGCTTAACTCTTCCCTCTCAATTCTCACTTGCTTAACTTTGTTATGGCCTTTTGACAGATTATTCACTAACAAATGCAATCTTTGAACATTTAAATTCTTACATATAATAATCTCATCATCATTAAAATTGCAACCATGAACAAAATCAGTTATAATGACGAAATCAACAACATCACCTCCCAACTCATGGAAAACACACACGTTCACCAAATTACGAAAAACGGACCTGTCCTGGCTCTCAAAATTTGAGCACTCCTGGCTCTCGTGATCATAAATATCACACACATGAAAATTCAAACATATTTTCTCTTCTACCCCCATCTCAGGGAAACAACTCATAGCCTTCAAGTCAGGTTTATATTCATTATTTAAAAAAAGTTAACCTTGGTGTCCCCACGGTTCTCAAACCTCCAGTAACTAGTGTCTATTACAGGACAAAATTCCCCGACTGGACTACTACCCTCGTAGCTCCACGTAAGGTGATCTCCTATGACTTCCACCTTGTTAAACATACGCTCCCTCGACAAGCTCACTACCTCTACCTCGTGATCTCCGTAGCTTGTCCACTTCTTAATATTATGAACACTTCCCTCTTGCACAAAATCAACATCTGCTTGCTGTATACAATAAAGAAATCCCTCTGGTACTAAACCAAGATCTCCCTCATGTATAAAATTAGCAAATACCTCCTGTACCAAGCCAATATCTTCTTGGTTTACAAAATCAATAAATCCCTTCTCTACTAAACCAGCATCTCCTTTGTTTACAAATCAACAAATATATCTTGCATTAAACCAACATGTCTTTATTGTACAAAATCAACAATGCCCTCCTGCATCAAACCAAAATCTCCTTGCTGTACAGAAACAACATTTCCCTCCTGTACTAAACCAGCATCTCCTTTGTTTACAAAATCAACAAATATCTCTTGTATTAACCCACATGTCCTTGCTGTACAAAATCAATATCTGTCTCTTGTACAAGGCCAGTTCTAATTACAGTCTCTATGTCAAATGAAATATCCTCAAGACTACACGGTTCTATGCCTACATTCAGTACAACTGCGTCAATTTTCTCACACGCAGCACCCAGTTTTTCAATATCCTTGCATGTAAGGTTTCTATCTGACTCCTGACATTCAGCTACATTTAAAACATTCCTGGCCTCCTTAATGTCAACCCTATGGTCATTTAAATTTAACTCGTTAATAGCCCCCATGAACAAATCGTTCTCCCTGTCCTCAGCCACATCAGCACCACATTCCTCAGGATACCTAAGTTCCTCCCCAACTTCGTTAATATGTTTCTTAACCTCTTTGACTAAAGTGATTTTAATCTTTTTAACTTTCACCCACTGTCTCCCGTTTTCCTTAGCCACACGAATATCATCCCTCTGTCTCTCCCTCTTCCATTTCTCAACTTCAGCCACTTGTTTCCTACTTAATTCTTCTCTCCACCTATTATGTTTTTCCTGCAACATTAAATCTGCCTGTGCCAGCTCCTGGTCCAGCTGTTCTCGCCTAACCTGTCGTTCTCGTTCTTTCCGTTCTCGCCTATCTTGTCTATCTCGTTCTCTAGCTTGTCTTTCTCGTTCTTCCCGTTCTAGCCTATCTTGTCTATCTCGTTCTCTAGCTTGTCTTTCTCGTTCTTCCCGTTCTAGCCTATCTTGTCTATCTCGTTCTCTAGCTTGTCTTTCTCGTTCTTCCCGTTCTAGCCTAACTTGTCTATCTCGTTCTTCCCGTTCTAGCCTATCTTGTCTATCTCGTTCTTCCCGTTCTAGCCTATCTTGTCTATCTCGTTCTTCCCGTTCTAGCCTGTCTTGTCTATCTCGTCCTTCCCGTTCTAGCCTATCTTGTCTATCTCGTTCTTCCCGTTCTAGCCTATCTTGTCTATCTCGTTCTTCCCGTTCTAGCCTATCTTGTCTATCTCGTTCTTCCCGTTCTAGCCTATCTTGTCTATCTCGTTCTTCCCGTTCTAGCCTATCTTGTCTATCTCGTTCTTCCCGTTCTAGCCTATCTTGTCTATCTCGTTCTTCCCGTTCTAGCCTATCTTGTCTATCTCGTTCTCTATCCCTCTCCTCCCTTTCTAGCTTATTTTGTTTCTATCAGTTTCCTTTCCACCCACCTAGTAAGAGCCTCGTCTTTATAACCCAGGTCCTCTCCAAACTCTCGTAGTTCCAACATATAGGTTTCATCTACACTCGTTGTTTCCATTGTTTATAATCATAAGTTTAAAATTGAGCAGGGTCCAATACAACAGACTAAAATAATACATTTAAATATGTTATCTAACACAAAAAAGTATGTATATCTATCTATCTATATATGTTTATGAAAAAAAATCTTACCTAACTATAAAGAGAGCACAAATAAAATAAGTAACGTAAGTCTTTATCTTGTCCCTCACGGATCTCTGGAGCACAATAATTGTCACTGAACTGGCATGAGTACAATGTCAAATAGGGGTACAGCACAGTGCACAGCAGGAAAGAGTAACGTTAGGATGCAGTCACAGAGTGATACAGGCCCAGTGTGATAGTGGCCAAACAGGAGAAAGGCCAGGCAGCGGCCCAACGACAAATCGGGAAACAACACAGCAGCATACGATGATGGCTGGATACAGGCGAAGTGGGATACTGGCCCGGCAGGATACAGGCAAGACAGCGGCCTAACGTCGAACCGGGAAACAGCACAGCAGCATACGATGGTCGCTGGATACAGGCCAAGTGGGATACTGGCCAAGCAGGATACAGGCCAGGCAGCGGCCTAACGTCAAACCGGGAAACAGCACAGCAGCATACGATTGTCGCAGGATACAGGCCCAGTGGGATTCTGGCCAAGCAGGATACAGGCAAGACATCGGCCTAAAGTCAAACCGGGATACAGTAGAGCAGCATGTGGCAGTCGCAGGATGCAGGTTTAGCAGGATTCAAACCCAGCGGGGCACAGGACCAGCAGCATACGTATACATCAGTATGCAGGCACGGCAGTATATAGGCGCCCAATCGCGGACGAACCTCCCAAATGTTACAAACCTATTCTTGCTTAATAGGTTCGTTGGCTTCGTTGTCTAGGGGTTTATTATATACACTTCACAACTATAAATTATTGTATAAAATATCTTTATTCATCCTACTAAGTCCTCAACTGCCATTACCGTACTCAAAGCACAACACTCTACCACCATCTACAATACTAATAAGTCATATTCCTTTCCACACAATACGTCACAAGATACTAACAATAACAGATAAAACAACACACATCATCTCAAACCAACACGCAATCACACTATACAATCAAGTCCCTAACAGTCTTGTGATAAAGTTAAACACTTTTTACTCTAATATATTAAAATGAATAAAACTTTCTTCATCAATTTTCACTTTCAATAATAAAAAAAATATACATTTTAAATAAAAATACTGCATACAACCCTATTTAAAAAACAACTTTAAAACAACTTATGTGAATAACGACACATAGCTTGATACAGAAATCTATACTGGAAGCAAAACTCTTTGAAAAAATTCTTTAAATGATATGTCATCTTTATAATCTACCAAAAAATGAAATATGCATGAATTTTAAAAGTATTTTGTATTCTTGCCACTTTAAAAGTGGTAGAGAAATAACTTTACAACTTATTTAGATTGAGTGGAGCTTTTGTGATGCGTTTCACACAATATGATTTCCTCTTTCTCTTGTGTAAGTGAACCTGTTGTTTCAAAGTTTTCATCTTTCTCTTGTGTAAGTGAACCTACTGTTTCACGGTTTTCATCTTTCTCTTGTGTAAGTGAACCTGTTGATTCAAGGTTGTCATCATTCCCTTGTGTAAGTCGCCCTGTTGTTTCAAGGTTGTCATCATTCTCTTGTGTAAATGAACCTTTTGTTTCAAGGTTTTCATCTTTCTCTTGTGTAACTCGCCCAGTTGTTTCAAGGTTTTCATCTTTCTCTTGTATAACTCGCCCAGTTGTTTCAAGGTTTTCATCATTCTCTTGTGTAACTCACCCAGTTGTTTCAAGGTTTTCATCTTTCTCTTGTGTAACTCGCCCAGTTGTTTCAAGGTTTTCATAATTCTCTTGTGTAACTCGCCCAGTTTTTTCAAGGTTTTCATCTTTCTCTTGTGTAACTGAACTTGTTATTTCAAGGTTTTCATCTTTCTCTTGTGTAACTGAACTTGTTATTTCAAGGTTTTCATCATTCTCTTGTGTAACTGAACTTGTTATTTCTAGGTTTTCATCATTCTCTTGTGTAAATGAACCTGTTGTTTCAAGGTTTTCATAATTCTCTTGTGTAACTCGCCCAGTCGTTTCAAGGTTTTCATCTTTCTCTTGTGTAACTCGCCCAGTTGTTTCAAGGTTTTCATCATTCTCTTGTGTAACTGAACTTGTTATTTCAAGGTTTTCATCATTCTCTTGTGTAACTGAACTTGTTGTTTCAAGGTTGCCATCAGTTTTTCCACTCAAATAATTCATTTTGCTCTTGTGATAAACTATTTAAAACGTCATCAGAGTGTCCAGATTGTTTTGGTCTACTTTTATCCTGGGAGATGTGTTTGTCATGCCCTGTTGCCATTATGTCAGTCCTTATGGGTTTATTAAGAGCTTCTTAATGTTTTACAGCATTTGTAGACATAACAGATTTTTTCTCGACAAACATTTTCAAAATATTTTGACTTGAAAAATGTATCATCGCTATTTGTCGAGCTGAAAAACCATCTTTACCCTGAATTTTAGCATCAGCGCCTTTATCCAGTAGTACTTCAACTATTTCTGTTTTTTCACATCTAGTTGCTAAAATTAAAGCGGTATCTCCGTTGATTGCCTTTATATTCAAATCTGAACCTTTGTCTATAAGAAGTTTTACAGTATCTGTGCATCCTTGTGATGCATACATTAAGCCCGTCCATCCTTCTTTGCATCTTTCATTTATATTGGCACCATGCTCAATTAACTTTTCCACCTTACCTGTACACCCATACATGGATGCATACATTAAAGCTGTCTTTCCATCTTTGTTTCTTTCATTTATGTATGCACCATGTTCAATTAACTTTTCAATGACATCTTTACATTGAAGATTTGATGAACATGCAAACATTAAAGGTGATCTTCCATCATTTGATTTCTCATTTACGTGAGCTTTTTTCTCTATTAATATTTCTACAGCTTTCAAACAACCAATACTTGAGGCAGACATTAGTGCAGTCACTCCCTCATTGTCCTTCTCATCAATATCAGACCCTTTGTCTATCAAATTAGACATCAGCTCTGTTTTTCCACATGTTGCCGCTATCATTAACAGAGTCTTTCCATATTTATCTTTATGTTTTACATCAATTTCTTTGTTTAGTAAGATGTCAACAACTTCTGTACAATTTTTTTTATAGGCTTGCATAAACGCACCATCAATTTTTGCTCCTTTTTCTATTAGAAGTTTTGCTACATCTGTTTTGCCAGACATTAAAGCTGTTTCCAAAACACTAAAGTTTTGATTGTTTTGGTAATCTATATTTGCTCCCACTTCTATTAGCGTCTCAGCCACATCTGTATGACCCATTCTTGCGGCCATCATAAGAGCAGGTTCAAATCCTTTAACAGGGATATGATTTACATTAGCCCCTTTTTGAATAAGCATCTTTACAGTGTTGTTGTGTCCATTTTGAGAGGCTAAATGTAAAGCTGACATTTGAAAACCTCCTGTTTTGTTTATTTTCGCTCCATGCTCTATCAGCAATGCAGCAATTTCTGTATGACCATTCTTTGCAGCTGATTCTAGAGGTAAAAAATAAGACTTTACATCTTCTATATTTGCGCCGTTGTTTATTAATAAACGAACAATTTCTGTATGTCCATTTTCTGATGCTAAATTCAGTGGTCGTTTTATTATTCTTTTGTTACTTCCATTTACATCTGCCCCCTTCTTAATTGAATCCTCAGCTTCAGCTGTAAAGCCGTTTTCAGCTGCTCCCACTAGCATAAATGTGAATGGATTATCAAATTCAGCCATGTACGCTTGCTGAAGGAGTAAACTGTGAGTGTCATTCATTTTTAAAATCATATAATTACGTTTAATGTGATTTATTGCTGAAAATTGTTCCCATTTATCATCACGAGTGAATGGTACAGCAATTTCTTTTGGAGAGCAAAGGCAGCAGAAAGAGAAATTTCGTGCCTCAAAATATTTCAGTAGAAATTCATCTTATTGCAGTGTTGATGCGTCATCTGTAGGCAATGCACTTTTACTGCAACACTGTTGGGCACAAAATAACAGATAAGTTTGAATAGAATATTAATATTAAAAAAAGATAAACTCGTCACATTAAAAGTTACAAACCACTAGCAACTACCAAACCAACAATTATACCCATCAAATCTTTGTAATGTTTAAAAGCAAACTAAGTAGAATAAATTTTGGTTTGTATTTCGATAAAAAAAAAAGATGTAATCTCTTTGTCAATCCCAAAATGCAACTGTAAAATTTAAAGAAAAATTCTTTTGATGATCAACGAATGTTTCTCTTTCTATGATTTATTTATTTATTTAGGCATTTTTATATAGCGCTTATCATAAAGCTCTAAGCGCTTTACAATTATTAAAACATGTAAACTAAGTAAATAAAAATGAGACACTAGGATAGTAACTACTATTCTATAGAAACAATGAAAATGGCTATAAAACGAGGACACTTTGACACTTCAGGATCAACCCGAAACAGAAAATGAGGTAGAGCCACTTCATGTACGCAGGGGAATGGCGTAACGGAGACATGTAGTGGTTTACCATGAGTGGGCCAGGCGGCAACTCTCAGATTGATACCCAGCTAGAGGTAATTTCCCCGTGCCGCTGAGAGAAAACAGTACTGTGGTACCTCGAGATACGAATTTAATTCGTTCCATAGGCCTACACTTGCTCGTAAATCAATTTGCTCGTATCTCAAAGCAGTTTCCCCCCATTGAAATTAATTGAAATGCCATTAATCCGTTCCAGCCCCCAAAATGTCACCCCAGTTGTTTTTGGTTACGTGTTTTTCAATAAGAAAAATGCATTTATAAATGACAAATATTGTATAAAAACATAATAAAAGAGAATGTAAATAAATAAACTGGTTTTATAAAGTGTCCTGCGTTAAGGTAGCTCCTTCAAGCTGCTTCTCCGTCACTCGCACCATCTGCAGTTTCTCCATCTTTTCATGGAGAGAGGTCCGGAGCTTAGAAATTATTGGAACGCTCTAAGCTGGCGTTATACCCTTTATCGACTCCTTCTGATTAAGCACAGTGCATAGCGTTGAAGTACTACGCCCGTACTGCCTTAGTACTACGCCAGCACTGCCTCGCCAAGTCAGTCACTCGCACGCCTTGCTCATGTTTTTCTATGATTTCACGCTTCAATTCAATAGACAGCATCTTCTTCTGAGCGCTGACCTTTCCACTGACTTTCTTCGGACCCATGGGTAGAAAAAGAAATGTGATAAAATACTGTAACTGCACAAAAAGCACAATTCGTCAGCACAGCTTATCAAAGATGCTTCGACAGCAAGGCTAACAAGCACACTGACAATGTGGCACGCACGAGGCACGACTGGTGTACAGCATGGCAAACAAGCACACTGACAATGTGGCACGCACGAGGCCAACAAGCACACTGACAATGTGGCACGCACGAGGCACGACTGGTGTGTTCGTGTGCAGCCGCTGACCCAGTTCCTCGTATCTCAAATTTTTCTCGTATTTCAAAGCAAATCATCGCTCGCTCGACGGCTCGTATCTCAAAAAATCTCGTATGTTAGGGCGCTCGTATGTCGAGGTATCACTGTGGTCGAATAATCTGCTCTAGTTAGGAGAACGGTCTTTCCCCAAGGGTCGGAGTTCTTACTTTGTCATATCCATAAATTAGGCCTATTAAGGCAATTTTTTGAGAGCAGCTGGTATTAAATATTAGTATTAAAAAGAGCCTCATTACTCCGTCAAATAGCCGCATTACTCCTTCAAATAGACGCATTACTCCTTCAAATAGCCGCATTACTCCGTCAAATAGCCGCATTACTCAGTCAAATAGCCGCATTACTCCGTCAAATAGCCGCATTACTCCATCAAATAGCCGCATTACTCCTTCAAATAGCCGCATTACTTCGTCAAATAGCCATATTACTCTGTCAAATAGCCGCATTTTCCGTCAAATAGCCGCATTACTCAGTCAAATAGCCGCATTACTCCGACAAATAGCCGCATTACTCCGTCAAATAGCCGCATTACTCCGTCAAATAGCCGCATTACTCCGTCAAATAGCGCATTACTCCTTCAAATAGCCGCATTACTCCGTCAAATAGCCATATTACTCTGTCAAATAGCCGCATTACTCCGTCAAATAGCCGCATTACTCCTTCAAATAGCCACATTACTCTGTCAAATAGCCGCATTACTCCTTCAAATAGCCGCATTACTCAGTCAAATAGCCGCATTACTCCGTCAAATAGCCGCATTACTCCGTCAAATAGCCGCATTACTCCGTCAAATAGCCGCATTACTCCGTCCAATAGCCGCATTACTCCGTCAAATAGCCGCATTACTCCGTCAAATAGCCATATTACTCCGTCAAATAGGCGCTTGTTGCTCCAAAGCCACGGGTTGCCGACCATTGAAGGGTGTAAACCAGTGCTTCTTAAACCGCTCAGTGTGCCGCATTACTCCGTCAAATAGCCGCATTACTGCTTCAAATAGCCGCATTACTCCGTCAAATAACCACATTACTCCGTCAAAGAGCCGCATTACTCCGTCAAAGAGCCACATTACTCGTCAAATAGCCGCATTACTCATTCAAATAGCCGCATTACTCTGTCAAAAAGCCGCATTACTCAGTCAAATAGCCGCATTACTCCGTCAAAGAGCCACATTACTCGTCAAATAGCCGCATTACTCATTCAAATAGCCGCATTACTCTGTCAAAAAGCCGCATTACTCAGTCAAATAGCCGCATTACTCAGCCAAATAGCCGCATTACTCCATCAAATAGCCGCATTACTCCTTCAAATAGCCGCATTACTTCGTCAAATAGCCATATTACTCTGTCAAATAGCCGCATTTTCCGTCAAATAGCCGCATTACTCCGTCAAATAGCTGCATTACTCCGACAAATAGCCGCATTACTCCGTCAAAAATCCGCTTTACTCCGTCAAATAGCGCATTACTCCTTCAAATAGCCGCATTACTCCGTCAAATAGCCATATTACTCTGTCAAATAGCCGCATTACTCCGTCAAATAGCCGCATTACTCCTTCAAATAGCCACATTACTCTGTCAAATA